ATCACTGTTTGTGACTGGGCAGTGCCATCCCCAGTCTTGGGCTGGGAGGGTTGACCTACTCAGTTCCAGAGCTGCTCCAAACATCCTTTACCTGCAACCACCTTCCAATACCTGCAGGCCCTCCCCTTGCCCAGCACTCCTGGGGGTGCTGTGTCCCTGCCCCAGATGTTTTGGGCCCTGCAGCCCCTCCAGAGTGTGGTCACTCCAGCCCAATCCAACTCCAACCCAACCCGACTCTAACCTCAGGACAAGGCTGCACTTTGCTAATCCCCAGGAGCAGGAAGCCTCTCTCTCTATCTCTCTCTCTCTCTCTCTCTCTCTCTCTCTCTCTCTCACACACACACACACACACACACACACATACACACACTTGCCGTCACCCCCCTCCCCGCACCGGGTCACTTGAAGTTCCTCCTGAACTGCATCTTGGCTGGAAACGGGAGGCTACAACCAGGTCAGGTTTCTCCCTCATTTGATGCTGATAGAGGCTCTGGAGCCCAGATCCACACCAGAGTCCGAGGAAGCAGAACAGCTGGCTTTTGTGATGATGGGAGTGGCCGCGTGGGGGCCAGGCTGCCTGCCTCTGCCTGGCAGACCCTCCTCCTCCTCCTTCTTCCTCGACTGGCCCAGCTTTCTGGCATCACCCCTTCCTGTTGGGGCTGGGGCTGCTTGTGCCCCAATGTCTCCCCCCACAAGATGCCAGGCACACGGTGGCCCTAGTGACCACTGGGGGAAGGAACCCGCTCTCCTCACACTGTACTCACCACCTGGGGTCCTTCTAGGGCGGGTGTCAGTGTGAGGCAAGCAGTGTTAAAACATGCAGTACCTGCCTGTTTAGTCAGGTTAGCCTTTCCCTTAGTGTCCAATTTAGAAATGGCAACAGTCAACACAGTAGCCACCTGATGTAAATGAATCAAAATTACACCTATTTTTTGGTCAGAGTGGCAAAAATATATTTTTGGTGTGCCACAGAATTTTAGCAACTAGTTTATGTGCCATGAGATGAAAAAGGTTGAAAATCGCGGATCTGGACTTTAGGGGCCAGGATTGCTGTAAAACCCTGTAATGCAGAGGACGCACCCTGCACCCTGAGAGTCACGTGGGAATTTGGTGAAGCAGGTACTCGAGAGGGGGACGGGCGGGACTAGTGCCCACAGGGATGCCCAGGAGCGGGGCCTGTGGTCAGCAAACCCAGACTCTGTGGAGCAGGTGCTCGAGTCCACGCGAGTCCGCCCCAGTGGCGCCTCCCTCCCCCACGTGCCCAAGAACGGGATGGCGCCTGAAACTCCAGAAACTACACTCAAATCCTGCGGAGGGGGATGGGTGCCAGGAACAACCCTGATGGGCTCAGGCAGTCCCTCAACCCAGCGCCATTCGGAGCTCAGTGTGCGTGATGGGCCGAGGCACCGCTGCCACGTGACGACTACCGGCCGGGAGCTGGGCGGGGGTCCGCCCAGACTTGGGGTCTCGGGTTGTACCCCGCCCCGCATCACATGGCCAGAGACGCGCCGTCCTCTTCTCTCGGGGACTCTGCTTTCCAGCTTGGCTTTCTCTCCAGGACCGTCTTCCGCCCCGCGCGCCTCCCCTCTCCGTGGCGC